TTAAAACAATGTGGAATAGTTTCACAACTCACGCATCTGGAACACCACAGCATAATGGTGTGTCCGAACGTCATAACCGTACTTTATTAGATATGGTGCGATCTATGATGTCTCTTACCGATTTACCACTATTGTTTTGGGGTTATGCATTAGAGACAGTTGCATTCACGTTAAATAGGGCACCATCTAAATCCGTTGAGACGACACCATATGAACTGTGGTTTAGCAAGAAACCTAAGCTGTCGTTTCTTAAAGTTTGGGGATGTGATGCTTATGTGAAAAAGTTTCAACCTGATAAGCTCAAACCCAAATCGGATAAATGTGTGTTCATAGGATACCCAAAAGAAACTGTTGGGTACACCTTCTATCATAGATCCGAAGGCAAGATATTCGGTGCTAAGAATGGATCCTTTCTAGAGAAGGAGTTTCTCTCAAAAAAAGTGAGTGGGAGGAAAGTAGAACTTGATGAGGTAACTGTACCTGCTCCCTTGTTGGAAAGTAGTTCATCACTGAAATTAGTTCCAATGATTCCTACACTAGTAAGTGAGGAAGCTAATGATGATGATCATGAAACTTCTGATCAAGTTACTACCGAATCTCGTAGGTCAATCTGAGTAAGATCCGCACCAGAGTGGTATGGTAATCCTATTCTGGAAGTCATGTTAGTTGACCATGACGAACCTACGAACTATGAGGAAGCGATGATGAGCCCAGATTCCGCAAAATGGCTTGAGGCCATGAAATCTGAGATGGGATCCATGTATGAGTACAAAATATGGACTTTGATTGACTTGTTCGATGATCGCTGAGTCATTGAGAATAAATGGATTTTCAAGAGGAAGACGGACGTTGTTATTAGTGTTACTATCTACAAAGCTCAAATTGTCGAAAAATGTTTTCGACAAGTTCAAGGTGTTGACTACGATGAGATTTTCTCACTCGTATTGATGCTTAAAAGTCTGTCCGAATCATGTTAGTAGTTGCTGCATTTTATCAAATCTGGCAAATGGATGTCAAAACTGCATTCCTTAATGGATTTCTTAAATAAGAGTTGTATATGATGCAACCAGAAGGTTTTGTCGATCCTAAAGGTGCTAACAAAGTGAGCAATCTCCAGTGATCCATCTATGAACTGGTGCAAGCATCTCGGAGTTGGAATATATGCTTTGATAAAGTGATCAAAGCATATGGTTTTATACAGACTTGCGGTGAAGCATGTATTTACAAGAAAGTGAGTGGGAGCACTACAACATTTCTGATAAGTATATGTGAATGACATATTGTTGGTCGGAAATAATGTAGAATTTTTTGGAAAGCATAAATGAGTGTTTGAAAGGAGTTTTTCAAAGGAAGACCTCGGTGAAGCTACATACATATTGAGCATCAAGATCTATAGAGATAGATCAAGACGCTTGATAAATTTTCCATGAGTACATACCTTGACAAGATTTTGAAGTAGTTCAAAATGGAACAGTCAAAGAAGGAGTTCTTGCCTGTGTTGCAAGGTGTAAAGTTGAGTAAAGATTCAAAACCCGACCACGGCAGAAAATAGAAAGAGAATGAAAAGGCATTCCCTATGCCTCAATCATAGATTCTATAAAGTATGCTATGCTGTGTACCAGACCTATTGTGTGCCTCACCATAAGTTTGGCAAGAGGGTACAATAGTGATCCAGGAGTGGATCACTGGACATCGGTCAAAAATATCCTTAGTGGAATAAGGAAATGTTTCTCGGTTATGGAGGTGACAAAGAGTTCGTCGTAAAGAGTTACGTCGATGCAAGCTTTGACACTGATCTATATGACTCTAAGTCTCGATCTAGATACATATTGAAAGTGGGAGCAATTAGCTAGAGTAGCTCCGTGCAAATCATTGTAGACATAGAAAATTTGAAAAATACATACGGCTCTGAATGTGGCAGGCCTGTTGACTAAATTTCTCTCACAAGCAAAACATGATCACTCTTTGGGTGTTAATCACATAGCGATGTGAACTAGATTATTGACTCTAGTAAACCCTTTGGGTGTTAGTCACATGGAGATGTGAACTAATCACATAAAGATGTGAACTATTGGTGTTAAAATCACATGACAATGTGAACTACATTATTGACTCTAGTGCAAGTGGGAGACTGAAGGAAATATGCCCTAGAGGCAATAATAAAGTTGTTATTTATATTTCCTTATATCACGATAAATGTTTATCATTCATGCTCGAATTGTATTAACCGGAAACTTAGTACATGTGTGAATACATAGACAAACAGAGTGTCACTAGTATGCCGCTGTTTGACTAGCTCGTTGAATCAAAGATGGTTAAGTTTCCTAGCCATAGACATGAGTTGTCATTTGATTAACGGGATCACATCATTAGAGAATGATGTGATTGACTTGACCCATTCCGTTAGCTTAGCACTTGATCCTTTAGTATATTGCTATTGCTTTCTTCACGACTTATACATGTTCCTATGACTATGATATTATGCAACTCCCGAATACCAGAGGAACACTTTGTGTGCTACCAAATGTCACAATGTAAATGGGTGATTATAAAGGTGCTCTACAGGTGTCTCCGATGGTGTTTGTTGGGTTAGCATAGATCGAGATTAGGATTTGTCACTCCGAGTATCAGAGAGGTATCTCTGGGCCCTCTCGGGAATGCACATCACTATAAGCCTTGCAAGCAATGTGACTAATGAGTTAGTTGCGGGATGATGCATTACGAAATGAGTAAAGAGACTTGCCGGTAACGAGATTAAACTAGGTATTGAGATACCGACGATCGAATCTCGGGCAAGTAACATACCGATGACAAAGGGAACAACGTATGTTGTTATGCGGTCTGACCGATAAAAGATCTTCGTAGAATATGTAGGAGCTAATATGAGCATCCAGGTTCTGCTATTGGTTATTGACCGGAGACGTGTCTCGGTCATGTCTACATTGTTCTCGAACCCGTAGGGTCCGCACGCTTAAGGTTTCGATGACAGTTATATTATGAGTTTATGCATTTTGATGTACCGAAGTTTGTTCGGAGTCCCGGATGTGATCACGGACATGACGAGGAGTCTCGAAATGGTCGAGACATAAAGACTGATATATTGGAAGCTTATATTTGGATATCGGAAGTGTTCCGGTCTACGAGGGTACGTGGACTACACTCTTCCCTCTCGTTGCTATGAACCCCTAGATAGATCTTGCGTGATCGTAGGAATTTTTTGAAATTACTGAGTTCCCCAACATTTTGTAGAGTCATAGATTTGCTTCCGCAAGAGGCACAAATGTGCCTCTCGAAAAAGGAAAAAATGTGTTCTTTTTTGCTTCCTTGGGAGGCACATATTTGTTTCTCGTGGAGTCATAGATTTGCTTCCGCAAGAGGCACAATTGTGCCTCCCGGAAAAGAAAAAACGCATTTTTTGCTACCACAGCAGGCGCAGGTTTGCTTCCGTGAGAGGCATAGTTGTGCCTCTTGAAAAAAACGCGTATTTTTGCTTCCACGAGAGACACAAATTCACTTCTGGTGGAGGCGCATATTTGCTTCCGCGATAGGCATGAAGAGGAAAACAATATGTTCTTTTTTTGTTTTCACGGGAGGCACACGCGTGCCTCTTAAAAACATTTTTTTTCTTCCATGAAAGGCACGGATTTGTGTACGTGAGAGGCACAAAAACACGTTCTTTCTTTTTCTTCTACAAGAAGCACAAATTTTCTTCTCATACAGGCGCAAATTTGTTTCCACAAGAGGCACAACCACCACTGTCATGGAGCCATAGGAGGTCACTGCAAGACAGTCTGCAGTCACCCCAACCCGGTCTACCCGGCCTCCATCACCACCACTAAGCTGTTCACATAGCATGGACGATGAGGAGGGGATTCGGATGAACGGAAAGAAAATCACCAACTGAGTCGCAAAACTTAGAGCATCTACAGTCGGGCGCCCCAAAGCTGCCTCAAACGCCCGGACGGGCCGCCCGGTCACTGACCAGTCACGAAATTTCGACCCAAACGGGCTCCTTAAACAGACCGCAAATGCCCGGGCTGATCGGCATCCCTCATAGCCAGCCTAAATATGGAGCAGATATGGGGGCACCGGGGCGCGCCCGCCATGTCAGACCCAACAACCCGATCCCACTACAAATTGCACCAAATCCACCAAACCCTTCCTCCTCTCGCTGCCCTTCAACCTTTCCCGCGCCCGAGCCCGAGCCGTCCGCCACCCTTGTTTCCCATCCTGCCCACCGGCCCCGATCCACCGCCGTAGATGTCGTCCAACCCGCATGTCCGGTTTGTTGAAATATGATTTGCTTTGTTTTGTTTCGAACTGTTGAATTCAGACAATTTATATCGTATGATCTAAGTGCATGAATTGCATGGATTTGAGGATTGGCATTTGAGGTATGTAGATGTGCCGGGCAACATATGATGGGTCGACGGACGTTGTCCGCAGACGAGCCCGCAGGCATATAGGGGACCGGATTTGCCAAGTCTGTTGTACTTATGGAGCCAATATTTTCTCCATTAGACAACCAAGAATGTTAGACAACGGTAATAATGTTTGCAGAACACTGGTAGAAAGTTACTCGAAGGCTCAGACTGGCCCATCCTAGCCCAACTCAACGTTTGTATTCACAGTTTTTTTAGACCAAATCACCGGTTACACCTCATACGCCGTTGCAGTGAGAAAATAGAAAAGGAAGAATCATCACACAACATAAACTGCATATTCTCGCCGTTTGGCAACACTAGGAGTACGTGCATGCAACCCTGAACGAGTCTACGGCCGGCAGTCTAGCTAGATATATACCATTAATATCGATGGGACGACAATTAACCTCGTAATCCCCGTCACTGACAACGACTTTGAGAATCATCACAGAGACCAGCACGTCCCATATATAAGCAACAAACTTGCTTGTACAGCAGATCGGTGCTAGATAAGCCACCATTGATTGGTAGTGCAATTGAGCATTAGTCCTCAAAGAGCTAATTCATCGCATCACCATGTGCTGGCTCACAGCTAGACGGCGGCGTCAGGCTGAGGAGGAGCGCCGGAGACAGATGATGAGGCAAAGAGAAGAGGCGGAGAGGCGAAGAGAAGAGGCGGAGAAGACGCCCTGCTTCCGCTTGAGAAGGAACCTGGCCGCCTACGAGATGGAGGAGGGAAGGAGGATAAGAAGGGCCGCCGAGAGGGCCAAGGCGATGGAGAACACCGGGGCGGCTGACAAGGTACAAGGGAAGGGGAAGAACGTGTCACCACAGGAGGTGAGGATGGAGAAGGAGAAGACGAGGAAGGAGAAGAAAGAGGAGGAGAGGCTCAAGGCGAAGGTCGAGAAGGAGAGGAAGAAGCGCGAGGAGGAGGCCAAGAAGAAACGAGAAAGAGAGGCCAAAGAGAAGGAGTTGGAGAAGAAGAGGAAAGAGGCGTCCAAGAAGAGAAAGACCGCCAAGGGAAAATGATGTTGGAATGTTGCTTGATCACGGTAACATTGGTCCATTGCATATTTATTGTTCCTATAGCCTGCACTCGTGACAGGATGTTTTTTGTTAACCTCCTATTTGAAACCGTGTGATATCATGGGAAGTGTTGTACATTGATTGAGCATGTCTGATTGTGACTTCAGGGAGCGTTTCAGTGTGACTAAGTATTGAGTACAACACTCAGTCACCTGGTTTTTTCGTATAGTGCACATGCCCTAAGAAACATTTCTACTTTCAACCTCACAGTTAGAAACGACTTGCTCACCATGGTTTACACTACTCGTGCACGTCCTTCTTTATATCTCATAGTTAAAAGACTTAGTTTTGGCAACCAAAGACCCCTATATTTTTCTTTGCGGGAAAACTTATGATCTATTCATCATCAATCATGACAGTACAACAAACATAAAAAATACATCTAGATCGTAGACCACTCAGTGACGACTACAAACACACCGAAGCGAGCTGAAGGGCATCCGAACTAGGTACAAAATAAGGACATCCTAACCCAAATAAATAAGGGCATCTCTAACCAAACCCCTAAATTGTAACTCCAAACACCTACTTAAAACCAAACTCCTCATATTTAAATAGTTATGACATAATGAACACTTAAACTTAACTCCCTAAAGAAAATTTAGCACACAAATTTAACCTACTTTATTTCGTAACTAAACAATGGTTCCACATCATACATAGCATACTTAAATGGTTTGTTACCTTCTACATTGACATTGCATGGACATCAAATTAGTTAAAACATCGAGAAAAACTAAATAGAGCTACATACTACTTGATAGTACATCGACA